AAAAAAAAAAAAAAAAAAAAAGACAGCACTCAGGAGTTCCATGCAGAGGTATCTGGCAGTTCTATGCAGTAGACACTGGAGCATCTCTGCTTGATGGTCACGGGACAGGGTTTGTTGGTAGCTACAGAGGTGGTGACATGTCCAGCATTAGCCCAATGGGGGAGATGTTGATAAAATGTATTCATTATATAAGTATTTTAATACATTTTTATCAATACATGCTGGAATGGATTGCCTGACATTACAGTGCAGAATTTTTAAGTTCTACCTTCAGGCAAATCTCATACTTACTAGCAAAAATGAAAGTGTGAAATGCTTTTTAATGTATATTTAACAACAGATAGTCTACTGATTACTGATGTGTATTCTCTCTGGACTTTTCCCTTGCTATCAGAAGGCAATGTTAAGAGACAACATTTTTATACATTTATGTTATCCACATCCATCAAATGTTTACTTTTTAAATATTTGTAACTGTCATTTATAAGAAGACTGTAAAAAAGTTATATTTTAAGTGTAAATCAAATCCAGGTTAGAAGTTTGCAATCAATTGCCAGTAAAGTTCAGTAACACTCAAAAGCAGTGTTTCCTTTCCTCCCCCCAGTTTCAGCCTTTTGATGTGCGTTGGCAATAAATGCAATTTTATATATTGCTCTTGTGGAAAAATGTAGGTTGTTAATATTTTTATGCTACTTTTTAGTTGTCTTGGTTCAAACTCCTTGAGATGCATTTTACAAGATTGCTCCTAATTGAATTCAGTCTTATGTCTACTTACATTTAAGAGGTAATTCTATCAAATGCATTTATTTCATTCTTTCCTATAGTGTCACCATTTTGTAAGGATTAGGGTACAGTTTTCTGTATTTACAGTGGGCTGCACAGCAAGAATTCACGTCTTAAACTAATGTATGCAAAACCGTTGCATAGTACATAGATCAAATTGTTATAATAGCAGTATTGAAGGCATTTTAGATCACAGAGCCCCAGTAGTCTACATTTTGTTTGCTTTGACATTATTAAACTCAATCTGTTTCTCTAACTGTGACTCTAATTACTACATTTGCATGGCAGAAAAGTTTGCTTTGTGGATGGACTTCTATTAACACTGTTTGCATGTTGTTTTCTGAGCTTAGTGTTTCATGTACAGGCAGCAGAGCACCTTCTATCGAATTCAATAATTATGCAGAATCAATAAGTTTTTTTTCTTTGTGTTTGTCTTTGTTGTTTCTTTGATATGGCCTCTAGGATGCTGCAGGCAAGGTGCTGGACCGCTGGGCCATCATGTCCAGGGAAGAAGAGATTATTACCCTTCAGCAGTTTCTGAGATTTGGAGAAACCAAATCCATCGTGGAGCTGATGGCAATTCAAGAAAAGGAAGGGCAGGCAGTGGCTGTGCCATCTTCAAAGACAGATTCAGATATAAGGACTTTTATTGAAAGCAATAATCGCACTAGGAGCCCAAGTCTCCTTGCTCACCTGGAGAACAGCAACCCTTCCAGCATTCATCACTTTGAAAACATCCCTAACAGCCTTGCGTTTCTGCTTCCATTCCAGTACATAAATCCCGTCTCTGCTCCATTGCTGGGGCTGCCTCCAAATGGCCTCCTGCTGGAACAGCCGGCTCTGAGGCTGCGTGAGCCAAGCCTTTCTACCCAAAATGAATATAATGAAAGCAGTGAATCTGAAGTTTCCCCCACTCCTTTCAAGAATGAGCAGACATCCAGCAGGAATGCTTTGACCAGCATCACAAATGTAGAACCCAAAACTGAGCCAGCCTGTGTGTCTCCCGTTCAAACATCTACACCCATCAGTGATTTGTCCAAAACTGAGCACACAAAAAGCTCATTCAGGATTCACAGAATCAGAAGAATGGGATCAGCATCAAGAAAAGGGAGAGTGTTCTGCAATGCATGTGGTAAAACTTTCTATGACAAAGGTACTCTCAAAATCCACTACAATGCAGTTCATCTTAAAATCAAACACCGGTGCACGATTGAAGGCTGCAACATGGTCTTCAGCTCTCTTAGAAGTCGCAATCGTCACAGTGCTAACCCTAACCCCCGCCTTCACATGCCTATGCTAAGGAACAACCGAGACAAAGATCTAATCCGTGCTACATCAGGAGCTGCCACCCCTGTCATAGCAAGTACAAAATCCAGTCTTACCTTAACAAGCCCTGGTCGGCCTCCAATGGGTTTTACTACTCCCCCGCTAGACCCTGTACTACAGAACCCTCTTTCTAGCCAGCTGGTGTTTCCAGCTTTAAAGACTGTCCAACCTGTTCCTCCTTTTTACCGAAGTTTACTTACTCCTGGAGAGATGGTGAGCCCTCCAACCTCATTACCCACCAGTCCCATCATACCAACAGGTGGTTCAGTGGAACAGCATCCTCCTCTTCCTTCAGAGTCATCGTTACCTGCGATGGTGATGCCTACCCATGAGCCTAATGCTGACCTTGCCCCTAAGAAGAAACCAAGGAAGTCAAGCATGCCAGTTAAAATAGAAAAGGAAGTTATTGATACTGCTGATGAGTTTGACGATGAAGATGATGAGGCTAATGACAACAGCATGATGGCTAATGATATTGGTCATGACAATCACTGCCATTCGCAGGAGGAAATGAGCCCAGGATTGTCTGTGAAAGACTTTTCTAAAAATGGTAGAATCAGATGCATTTCCAGGACAGAGATAAGAAGGGCGGACAGCATGACCTCAGAAGACCAAGAGCACGAGAGAGACTATGAAAACGAGTCAGAAACCTCAGAGCCAAAATTGTGCGAGGAATCCATGGAAGGTGATGAACGCATCCATGAATCTAATGAACAGTCTATGATGAACAGTGAGATGCCAGATGAAAATCACAATGAATCTTCTCACCGGGATGTAATTAAGGTGAAGGAAGAGTTTACAGACCCTACCTATGATATGTTTTACATGAGCCAATATGGACTGTATAATGGGGGCAGTGCCAGTATGGCTGCCCTTCACGAAAGTTTCACTTCAACATTCAATTACAACAGTCCTCAAAAGTTCTCCCCAGAAGGGGACCTGTGTTCCAGCCCAGATCCCAAGATCTGCTATGTCTGCAAGAAGAGTTTCAAAAGCTCCTATAGTGTGAAGCTTCACTACAGGAATGTTCATTTAAAAGAGATGCATGTCTGCACAGTGGCTGGCTGTAACGCTGCCTTCCCGTCACGGAGAAGCAGAGACAGGTCAGTAAATATTAATTGATTTTCTACATTATTAAGTGTGTCAAATTACATAAGAAAATCCAGTTTTAGGTAGATGAAGAAATAGAGAGGAGACACACAGTAATGACTAGTGACAGTCATGCCCCCTTGGCATTGAGGGGGTGTTATCACTTTAGGTTTTCATTGTTTGACATTCAGAATAGTATATACTATGTCATTGTCTTATGTGATCGGCTAGATAATGTCATTCTTTCTGTGTGTGTGTGTGTGTGTGTGTGTGTGTGTGTGTGTGTGTGTGTGTGTGTGTGTTGTATACTACTCTTTTGTATATAAG